ATGAAAATATTAAATAATCTTGATCTCTGAGTTATTCCCAGTTGCCTCATCTAGGAAATCATGTCAACAGAGTCTGCTATCATGTCTCTTTTGCCCAGTGTTTTGTGTTCTTTATTGTTACAACCCTGGCCACAATGCTTTCTCTTGCTTATCAATAATTTTCAGCATGGCACTGAACAACTCCTTTACTATTATTAATACATTTGATCTACGAGGATAAAAGAGGGGAAGAGAGGTGCAAATGAGGGTCAAAGTATTCTACATACTCACCTTCATCACCCCTTAGTGTGTTTCCAGCAGTGCCATGGCTATCCTTTTACACTGTTTCTTTTCCTTTTGGCTTTTCTGAAGGTGGAGGAGAAACCTGTGAAGCAAACTGTTGTTTTCCTTTACTACAGTGGGATTTTTTTGTTTGTTTGTCCAATATTGGCTTTCTAGCTTTGATTTTGCAATGTTTTTTAAACACACGTGTTGCCATGCATTTATGCTAAAGGCAGCCAGGCCAAAGAAACATGTGCAAGACTTGGAAAGTGGTAGAAAAGTTTTACACAGCACCATAATAATAGGGGTTTTTAAAATTTTGTTCTGTCCCTTTCTTTGTAATTCCTAATGTTTTGCTTGCTTTTTGAACACTGCCAAGCAGGGAAGCATTTATTAGAACCTCACAACACTGCTCAGGAGGGGTAGCAGCCAGCTGAGACCCAGTCATTCCCCCCTGTGCATCACAGGGAAGTTATCTACACTGAGGTTCATCTGCTGTTTTGTTGCTCAGTTACTCAGCTTCACAGTGTCTTCCTTCATCCTGTCTTCGTGTTCACAGTAATCTCTGCAACTTTTATTCATGCCCCTTCACAGAACATTTCTGAGCATGCTGTACAATGCTGGTGGAGGTGCTCTGCTATTTGACTCCCATCACGTTCATTTCTGACCTTTGCTTCCTCTCTTTTCATGTGATGTTTGCCCACGTGAGAAGCTGCCTCTTTGCCCATGCAGCTTAACTCCTTTGAGAGCCTCCGGTAAAAGATGTCAAATGTCTTTTTTTAATTCCTGCTAAGTGTGTCGACAAGATCTCCCCTCCCCATACAGAGGGACTCATGAGGCATCACTTCCCTTTGCAAAAGCTGCCTGTTTCTTCCCCTGTCACCCTTACTTACCCATTTGGTCACTAATTCTTTTCTTTAACTAGTTCACTTGGCTTGGTTATCAGGCCTAATAGTCTGTACTTAACTGTATCTTTCTCTAGAACCATTGCTAAAAATTAGTAACTTAAGCCAGTGAGTTTTCCCTCAAACTAATTTTTTTTATAGAGTTGATAGTGGTTTACATATATAATCCGCCAGATGGATGTTCTTTTCTGATTTCTTCATTTGGGTATAACTTCAGGTTTTTAAAGGATGCCTTTTAACTTGTAGCAACCTTAACCAAGTTGTTTAGCTATGTTCACACTCTTTTTAAGACTTTATAGAACCTACAGGATATGATCAGCCCTCGGCTGGACTAGAAGGAAGTATGAAAATCTTGGAGCAGTAAATTGCAGGATTTAGATGCTCTTATGTCTGTGGTCTTCTCAGCTACATGCTAAAGACCCCAAGAAAATCCATGTTTCATCACCATCTCTGTGAGTGAGCTTCTCCACGAATCCTTTAGATGGAGGTAAATTGGCAAAAATCTTTAAGTTTTGTTCTGACTTTCTTAATTTCTGGGTGGGAAAACTTGGTCCTTGAATCCAAGCAGAAGAGCAGTCACCTCAAATAGGATTTTAGAAGTAATCAGAGTTTAAAAGGATGAAAAATTGGGACTGTCCATCAAGAACTTGGATGGGAGGAAGCATAGGATAAAATTGGATAAATAGAAAGTAAGAAAAACACTACTAAGCTTCCCTAAGAATGGATTATGGAATACTAGTCAGACATTTACAAAAAAAACACCAAACCTTACTTTTCTACATCAAGGAAATGGGTTGACCTAATCTGAATTTCAGGAAAACATTTGTTAATATGCTACTTGAAAAAAAAAATAAACTAAGGAAGACAGCAATTGCTAAATTAACTCTTAATATGAATAAGAGCTTGCAAAGTCGTTTTGAAGGGAAAGTCTCAAACTAGAGAAAAATTTATAGTGGATTTCCTTAAAGAATTATCTCAGACCGATCTTACTAATTATTTTCACTGACTACCTTAACCTAGGAATGATCATCTGAGGGCACAAAGTTGGGGTACTGCTTGAATGAAGTGGGGGTGGAATACTGTATAACAAAGGGCACAAAAGTCCTATTGGACTAATGCCAAAACCAACAACAAAAAAAACCCCAAACAGATTTTTTTTTGTTTAATTAAAGACAGTAATAATGTTACTTAACTTCCAGAAGCAGAGCAGAACAACTGAAATCCTGCAGATTCCTCTATTAAGAAAAAAATAAAATTTCCTACTTTTAGATGTTATTCAAGAGTATCATACAACTCTTGTACATCCCGTTCCCCCTTCAATTTCATGGGCATCACCTGTAAACTGAAAATTAACCTACAAGATCAATAGAGACAGTATAATGTGACACTAAGTCCATATCCTCTGTTGATCCTGTAAAAATGTTTCAGAATTTGGTTTCTTGCTCCCAGAGCTGTCAAACAAAGCCAGTGCAGAACATTGAGTCAGAAGTACTGTACAGCTTTCGGAAGGCTTACCTGAAATAATACCCTGTGATGTGCCTGAGGTAACCTAATACTAGAGACAACTCTTTCGTGAGCTAAGCTAGCTCACCTGTAACGCCCTGCACCGTATCATGTGCGTGTGCCAGCTCACGTCCATAGTCGTGCAAGGCACAGAGGTTCCTGAACAAATCTGGACATGCCAGGAAATTCAGAGGAAGCCCGTGGCTTGGATGAAATTGATTACACTCTTTTATAAAAAAGTCTTTTGACACCCTTGTAATGTAAGACCATTACGATAGTGCAAAGGTCAAGGTCATAAACGAGGAATGAAGAACTTCTGCTATCAGCCTCCATAAAAAAAGGGTAAGTTGGGTGTTTCAATCAGTCCTCAAGGCTTTTGAGATATTGACAGCAGGTAGTTCTAATACAAAAATAAAAGAATAAAAATAAAAATATTAGTTGTTGTGTATCTAGCAGGAATTGAAAGGTATTAATGCCTCCGTGAAAGACCGTAGCAACACCTCATCTGGAGCACTGTGCCTGCTTCTAATCCTGCAGATTAAAAGAGATTTATTGGAAATGAAGGTGCAAAGAAAGGCTAGAAGAACAGTCAGGGAAAAACACTGTTCTCTATGACAGGTATGGCACAGCTGGGTTGGCTGAACTGAGACTGAGCAGGTTTTGGCAGTAACCTATGAAAGCTCAAGGGGAGACAGACTGGAATGGACTTTATGCCAGGAGAGAGAAATATCCTTTAAACTGAAGTCAAAGACCTTGTAGAATGTGAGAGTTTCAGCTGATCATGATACACATTATCTGAAATCTTTAACCATGCAGAGGAACATAAAATCAGCTGATGATAGGGGTAGCTTCAAGATGGAGTCTGGTGTCTCTGCATATTAAGTTGAAGAGTATAACATGGATGCCAGAGAGGATCAGGCCCAACAGCAGAGGTCTTCTCCAGCCCTGCCCAAGTCAAGGACAGAGCAGACTATGAAACTCTGATTTTCAAAACATGTATCAGATTTACACATTTGTCACCAGCCAGTTTATCACCACCCGCTATCTTATATTCAATAGTGTTACACAAGAGTGTAAATTAACGTGGAGTGCAATCCTCCTAATTATTACAGTTGGGGAACAAATGGGGCCATGCATATGCAAGTATCTAATTAGTCACGTCGTGATTGCCTGTCTGTGGAAATACCCTGTTTGGCTATGAAATCATACAGCCTGCTTTGGCTTATACAATGATGTGTGTTGCTGTGACTCTTGCATAAGGAGAATTAGTCCTTCTGTTTTAATAATACTGCACCATTCTGCTCAATTCTGAGCCCTTAATCTTGCATCACATTGAAACACTGTAGTAGCAACACATAATTGTCTATTTTTCAAATTTTCCATTTTGTAAAATGCTAGTTCCTGACCTCTGCTGAATGTGTAGAGTGGCCTACCTTGACACAATATTAGATTAATACTAACTGAAAAGAGTCCCAGTGTAGCTGTAATAGAAAAAAGAATATGACTTCACCTACCCCTGAATTCCAGGTTTCGGTGTTCTTTTCTTAGAAGAATGTTATCGTCTCACTATGACACGTGTAGTTTCACAAGTTCTGTTTGTTTTAGACTGAGATGACTTGGCCTTATTAGCTCCTTCTATCCCCTTCGGTTTTGGTGGGGCCCCAAGTGCCTCCTTAGCAGTATTGCAAAAGGAAATCCCCATAAACCACATAAATCCCTCAAAAAGCTGAGGGCAAAACCGAGCTGCTCCGGCAGGCAGCGTCCTCCCCTTGCACCGTGCTGCCACGGGTGTCAATGGCAGCTCTGCAAAGAGACAGAGAACAGCTCAGCAGCCTGCAGGTTTTGCTTGCTCTCCATGGCTGAAAGGACACCTGCAACCAGAGTACCTTTCCTATATTTGCTCAATGTTTAAGGGAGCTTATTGCTGGGATTTTCAGGGCACCATCATCACTGTGGCCGTTCTGCAATTTACATATAATGGGCGACGAAACAGAAATGTAGTTTGGAGGACCAGGCATGATATAGGGTCATGTTCTCTTAGGCTGGCAAGATACTAGTCTTCCTGTTCAATTTGTAGGGCTACTGGCTCATTTCTGATTTATCACTACTTAATTTAGATGAGCGTCAGCAATGGACATTAAAAAAATATGTTTTGTGGTTTTAAATACCTGGACCTTTTTTCCAGAATATGATAATTCCTTATCTTATTGCTTATTTATAGCAATTCAGATTCCTCCCAATTACTAATTAATTTTACAGTTATTTTTACCTCCTTCCCCCTCTCCCAACATATAGAAATGTATATGCTTATGTACATGCACATAAGCATACCTCATCAAAATTATTTCAGCATAAGTATGAATACCACGAACCAAAAGTTTGGCATCCCTGCTACTGTGAAAGATGACTGCCACCTATGGGTAAGAGCTCATGTTAACATATTTAGATAAAAATTTAATATTATTCCTTTTAGTTAATTCAATTTGTAATTATCTAGCAGGACAGAGTTTTGATTCATTTGATATATATTTTGTCAATAACAATCACTACTCATCCTCTGAAAGTTGGGTATTGAACCAACTCCCTTAGGAAAGAACATCAGCTTTACAACGAATAAAAAAAATGGGGTACGACGTTCTTATTTTTCTTATTCTGAATAAAGACAACATAGAAGTACTCTAATTCCCCATGCAAAGAAAAAAGACTCATTGCTACACAGTTAGGTACAGCATATTAGATAATGCTGTATTTATTTACTATAATTTTAAAGTTTAGCCAGCTCAAGGTTTTAATACTTCGCCTGCTGCTTTCTTTTACTAAATACATACAAATAGCTTAGCTATGCAGTCTCATGAAAATGTGTATATAATCAGTATGTCATAGTAAGTTTCTTCTCAAAATTTTTCATTTTTCTTAGTAAAATGAAAGCTAAGTGGGGGAAGGGAGGCAGCAGAAAAATGAATGGCTTGATTATGTAAGCCTCGATTTTTCTGATAATCAGTCTATGCAGCATTTACCTAGAAAACTCAAAAGTAAGTAAAGACTGGAAAGCCTAACTTTTTGTATCAAAAATATGTTTTTTCCGATTCAGCTTTAAGGTACTTACAAGTAAACAGTCCAACAATTCTGTATATCTGACTACCAAAGAGAAAAAACGCTCGATTTCGGCTGCTACACTATAGTAAGCTGCATTAAAATGGACATCGGTATCTGTTTCTCAGAAATACCACACGTAAAAATAGCTGGAAGTCTAGCAAATTAATGCATGTATTTAGGTTTGGGAAAAAATCATTTTGCTCCAGTAAACAGAAGCTAATTGTAGCCATTATATTTCCCCCTTTCGGTGCCGGGACGGTATTTCGGAACAAAAAATGATGGAACTTAACAAAAGAGAAAACTGTATTAAAAAAATAGCAATTAATACTAACTAAGAATAAGTCCAATACTAATTTTTTAAAAAATCTCCCTTTTAAAGTAATCTTAGTCCCAGGCCATCTCATTTTTATTCTACTTTACTAAATATGGTAACTGGCCCATCTAAAAAACCTCTAATCAGTATTACACCAGTGCTCACCTCATACATTTTCACTAAATTTTTATTACTAAAACTATGTTACGAACCTACAAAATACTGCAAAAGCGGTCAGTAAATGTCGCTCAAATATCTGAGGGTCACACATCAACATTTCATGCTTGCTTTCCGACAGCATCAGAACCCTTTATAACCTACATAATTCAGACGCTTGTGGTAAAATCTTTGTGCTTCATAGGCAAAACCATCTTGCAGGTAAAGTAACTGCTCCACAGAAATGTATTAGTGATGTGTTTTCCTGACATATTTCAAACACTACAAAAAAAAGCATTCTCCAATTTACTTCCTTGCGTCCTCTTTGGCTACCTAATCAAACTCTCAAATGTCCAGTAACATTTCCCTGTATTTTCAAACCACAGTTTAAACTTAAACCACTTAGTCTCCTTAGATGGGAACTTCATATCAGACAGAAATTACTCCTTATCGTGTTTGACGAATCCAGCTTGAAATAAAATACCAGCACTGCATGAATATCAGCGACAAATTACTTGTTTCTGTAATTCTGCTCTTTCTTATTTTATCTCGAGAACAATTTCATAGGTATACTGTGTTACAGTGTAGACCTCCTCCCACCAACCCACTGCTTGCAAAAGGAATTTAAAAAAAATATCTTCCATGTGTCATAAAATCCGAACAGAATATAGTTGAACCTTTCAAAATTATTACAAGTAAGAAAATGGAAATAAACAAATAAGCTAGTGCCTCAAATTTACGAGAGCAACAAAAAGATTAAAAAAATTTAGAAATGCAATAGAGGATTGTTAAACTAATAAATCTATCAATGGAATATGAAACCAACCCTCCTTTCCTGGTGACACATCACTGAGTTACTACTTGTATACTTCTACTGGTATAATGGAGAGCAAGATTTTTCTGTATATAGTCAAGATGACAAATTTTGACATATTTCCATGTCAATACCTTTAAAACCGAGGCCTTCTTAAAGGACAGGGCACTCAAAAAGATCTACATGACACTGGAAAATCCAGACAGGTTTCTCCTGATTTTTTGCCACCAATGATCTCTGTGTTTCACAGAGGAAAAAAAAAATCTCACAAGTCAGGCAGTGTTCCTAATTCTCTGAAGAGCTTGCTGTTAATTTTACAGTTTTACAAAAAGACAAGTAAAATTCTGTTTCCTAAGTAAAGAAATACAGAAGGTTGCATCATGGCTGTACAAAAAGAATTCTTTCTGTTCTATATAGATGTCTCATCAATTTCACTTGAATGCTGCTTATAACAGAGATTTTACTTTAAATAATAGTACTTAATGCCTATATGGATTTTTTTTTGTTACCTAATAGCTTTGCTAGATTGGTCATGGATTTTTTACTGTGCTACGTATTCTTTCAGTACTTAGTTATATGCCTGCATTTTCCAACAGACTTTCAAAATATTACTGCATTCTGGTCTATTCCACTGTGTTTTGACACTGAAGTGCATTCAGATACTCATAATATAAAATGCTTATAGACGCACCTAAACAAAAAAACAGACTACCGTGTGATATACTGGAATGAGTGGGACTTTCTTCTGATGGGGGAAAATCTGCTTGTTCGTAATAATTTATTTTAAAGCTGGGAAAAGGAGCAACGCACCTGGAATCAACTCACTGTAAATTCCAGAAATGCAAGGAGCTTCACAAAAAGTCTGCAGTTACCTTGTTTTTTAAGTAACCATGCAGAGCTGACAGCTATTAGCAGTAGCGAGGACTTGCATAACGAGGACTGGAAGGAAAGCTTAGTACTATCCATGCCGGAGTGATTTTAAGAGAATGAAGGCACGTATTTCTTTATGATGCATTATGTAACAACACAGAGGGCACTCTGAGGCATTAAAAAAAATACGGAACCCACATTTGATCTTATACTTGTTATTTATCACACAAATATTTAATAGTGCTTATAGCGTAAGGCTTATGAAGCACCTAACATAGGAATGTTATCTGATACAAATTAGTTTGAAATGTTTTAGATGACATATTTTACGTTCTGCACATCTTTAGGAAAATATAATAGGCCCTATAATTCATTCGCTTCAAACTTCTGCAATACATGCGATCTCAGATAAAATAAAATTGTCAAAATCAGTGATAGCTGGACCTTCTGGTTCACATTAGTGCGAAGAGAAAACTGCTGTTGAGCTGACACATTGATAGATTATGAGTTCTGCCGAAGAATAGCTAAAAATGGTGATTCAATCTTGTTGCTACTATATAAGAAAAATAACAGAAGTGGAGATGGTACTCATGATATCATGTCTTTTATCAAAACCCTAAAGGGTTCTGGTGCATCGAACACATTCTCTTCCTGAGAGCTTCTGGCTCTAAAAAATAACTGTGTAAGAAACTGAAACTAAATGGGCCTATTAAAAAAACCGGTTCATTGGTGTCCTAAATTTATTTAAACATTAATATAAAGAGCAGATTGTTAAAAGACTATCTTTGGGAGGGAGGTGGGGGGGTGTCCTCTCTCTCTCTTTTTTTTTTTTTCCCCTACAGCAGAGATGCTGGTCTTGTAATGACAAAATGGAGAGCTAGGAGGATTATGAAACACAAGTAACATGAAGGGCAAATCTGACTGAAAAAGAGGGAGAATACTATTCTAATTATTTAAAACTTAGCTGGGTTAGTGCCTTCACTAACTTAAATCAATACAGTTCCCCTGAAATCAATGAGGTGACACAGATGCATCCAAGACATATCTAGCATTTAAGATAATGCGGATCATCATCTCCTGTTAGGACAGTAAACATAAGCACATGTGTATAATCACTTTTCTAAACATCTCCCTAATCTTTAGATATGCAAAACAGAACTTTTAAAAGAGGCACCTTACGTACTTCTGCTATTCTACCCCTGGTCCTCCTTTAGTTAATCTGAAACTTGCATGGTCATTTACGTTGAAGCAAAGTTAAGTTTAAATACTGACTTCTGTGCCTCAGTGCTTCATACTTTCCTGTGCTGCTGCATATCACCATGGAAGGCTCAAGATGGAGGGAATAGGGCCTTGGTGGCTTGTGCCTTCCTCCCCCAAACATCACCAAATGCTCCCGGCGCTTAATTCCAACACATCCATGGAGTTCTGCAACAACAGAAGGGAAAACAAGGCTTCACAGTCCTCATCCTTCACTGAGAGGAATAACAGGTAAGGAGAAGGAGGAAACAGAAACACAGGGGAGAATGGGAGGAACGATTTCTTATTAGAGGCTCACCTTTCCTCAAGGAAAAGAAGCCTTGACATAAACTTCATGACATCACAAAGATGCAGGCAGGTAGGCACCTCAGATTTCTGATAACTCAGTGGGTTTGTTTCAGGAAAAGATTAAACATTCTTTTAATTTTTATTTTTACTTTTACCAAGGTCTCTCCAGTAAGTATTTGCAGCTTCTCCTGCAATAATTAATGTTTCATGTTGTACAAGAATTTCTTATCTTATTAAAAAAAAAAGCTCTCCAACAAAACTGTGACTTAAGCTGTGTTCTTAATTTGAGGAGGAATGGGGAAGAAAAGTAGCAAGGCATAAAGTTCATCACCCTGCTCTAAAATGTAGGGAGAACCAGAAACTGATATTAAATAAAAAAAATGTCTCAAGCCTGTTCTGTGTTTTGCCTACAATTTTTGCACATGCATTTGCCTTTTGAATATGCAGGCCGACATCTTTAGGATATTCAGGCAACGTATTAACACGTTGTGGATACGGGAAAGAAACAAGTCAGAAATATTTGGAGGGTGTGAAGCAATAAACAGTAACCAAGCAGAAATGTTTTACGCAACACTATTACGGCTTGACAGCAAAGTAGATTTATGCATTCTCCTTTCAAGCTTGTAAGCTTGGTAACAAGTGAAATGGGTTAAATTTTCTGAGTTTGGAATACAATTGATTTATGCTTGTTCCACGATGCTACGCAGCTCTTAAATGTACGGGCTCTTGCGGCTGAAAGTCTGCTTTTAGGACAGGCCCTGCAGTGACAGGCTGCGGCATGGCAGGGAGAGACCCAGGTAATTCTGGCGGGGCAGCGGCTGGCGATGCAGGACCCAGCAGGTATCCAGCCATCCAGCCAGCCCGCCTTACGTAAGGACTTCATTTTCGTTAGGCTACATCTCGCCGCGCGAGGCACAGGAGAAGAGGCTATTCCATCTCCCGGTGCAGCCCAGTCCCCTGTGCCAGGCCCAACATTCGCATCCTCGCATTTTTTAATTTATTTTTTTTTTTCCTCCTTTCCGAACAGCACATCTACACAGTGGCGTTTACCTATTCGCTCGCGCCGCGGCTGCCATGCAACCTACGTGGG